AAAAAAAAAAACAAAAAAATATATAAGAAAAACTAACTTCCTCAGGAGGCAAAATGTAATTCAAACTAGTTTTCATCTCTCAGTCAGGTCTTTACATTCAATAACTTACCCATAAAATAAACAAAAAAATAAATGCCTGAAAGCGTTCATCCACTCTGAGCCGATGTCTGTTTCATCGACAACATGCAAGACTTCTTCAAGAACAGCCATAGATTTTGGACCATACATACGGATGCGGACAAATTGTTCACGTAGATCCAACAACTGAAAGCAACGATAATAAGCACTATCATCAAAACAATTGCAGACTGATAAAAATTAAAAGTTTCTGTTGATGACTGCTTTTTCTAATAACAATTCTTCGTCAAATTTAATTTCAGTTTACACCTGTTCTCATCAAGACAAAGAACAAAACCAAAATAATTTGCTAAAAAATAAAAGTATGTAACACTATGCAAAAAAATTCAATTTTAATTTAAAAGCCAAAAACCCGATCAAAAAAAACATGAATAAAAATTCCTTGACAAAATCAGTTCATGGCTAGCAGTGCCAAAAGTTCTTCTAGTCGGAAAACATGTATATCAACTAAAACTTGGGTGATTACTAAACGAGGATGCAAAGAAATTTCTTCATCCGTAACTGGAAATCAGAAAAATGCAAAAAGTTCTTCGATAAATTCAGCAGCAAAATTTACTAACACTGCACTTTCCCGAATCTGCTATATACAGAGCGTCTTTGTAAGAAAAGCAAGTTCTAGAATTCCAACGACTAACGAATTTCGCAGAACTATTTTCATCACTAGTAGAATTACCGCTTCTTGATAAATTTAATAACTCCGTAAAGTGTTTCAAAATTGACCCTGACGTTGACGGATGGGACCAAACCAACAGCGAATAAGAAGTGTCACTACAATAAATCTAATACCTGGGAAATTAAAAAAGCAATCAATTAAGTATGAGAAAGTTGGCGAGAGAGTAAGCAGAATGAAAGAGTGGTGATAGAAGGACGTTCGAAAAAAGGTACTTCTTCTTACACCACATGAATCGAACGGGTCCAATAAAACCTCTCGGATATTCACCAGGCTCGTATAACAAAGAAGAAATTTCAAAAGTTCCATTTAGTGACGTCTTATAAGCGAGAGTAGGACTTGCTGAGGGAGGAAACAATACAGACAACGTAGATATCAACCACTGCCTATCTTCAACCGTAATCTTAAAAAACAGCAATTGAAAAGATTTTAAAAAACCACTTTTACAAACCTGAAAGCAGTTGAGGAAGCTTATATCTTGCACAGCGCAATGGCGAACTGAATCACGATACGATGGGCGGAACGAGCGCTGGAAGCTTTGCACGGCAAGCTTATAACCGTATTTCTCGATCATTCGAAATCGTTTTGCATGCCATATGTGGGTTTCTAGCCAAACATTCTTCCTTTGTCTTCTAATATATTCCTGAAAGGAAGTTTCAAAAATCAGGTAGTACGATAGATAATGGAGCAAGACCAGTCGAAAAATGCAACATTTAGGATTACCAGAACGGTAAGAAACAGAATGGATTTTCAAAGTCATAAAAAACGTAACAGAAAGAAGGTAGCTAAAGCTTTAATTTTTTCAAGCAGTAGAAAAGACGGAAGGGTACTCGGAGAAGGTTGCACGGTCTACGCCTCCAAAAACGACTAGGAGCTTTTTTTCGATGCTTTGACGCTTTTGTAACTGCGAGGGCGAATCTGCGTTGCGAGCGTGGTAAGCGCTTTACGTTATACGACATCGCTCTACGTCTCATATGACGGGGAAGTCGCTGAAGCGCTGTTCGTGGTCCTTTCGTAACTTCCCCCACAACTAGTTCAGCATTATCAACAGCCTTAATAATCACT